AACTGAATATGAATGCCTGATACGCTCACGTAAGGGATAGAGCTTAGCACTAATGATTAATGGTGGATAACACCAAGTTCAATGGTGGCCTCATCTGAGGGAAAGTGGTCACTAACAAAAACTAGGTCAAGCACATTCGAAGAACAGTTCTGTCCAAGAGTGAGTTCTTTCACGATTTCAAGGAGAAGATATGCCAGCATAGTATAAATAATAATGTTGGACGGAGGTGGCTGATGTTTAATAGTGGGCCAGTCAATAACAGGAAGGTCTAAATCGTCAGGCACTAAAAGCCTATGTGCAAGAGTGTGAAGGTACAGGTATTGATAGCGTGAATGCATTCCTACTAAGGAGGACAAGAAAGTGCGATAAACGCAATCGATTACCGTCGGACAGGTAGTGAAGTGCACTGCTTCCACGAAGGTCATGAAGGCAATTTAAATATTTATTTATTTATTTATTTATTTATTTATTTATTTATTTATTTATTTATTTATTTATTGATACTGCAGGCCAATATGCTGACCCATACAGGAGGGGCAAATACAATAATACATTGACAAGGCATTCACAAAAGACTAACAATGCAAGAAGAAAAACGTACAGTGCAAGACGCTTGCTTCGCAAAACAATTTACACAAGTGATAGCAACGAAAAAAAAACAACGTGCGCAGGTGGGTTTCTCAGGGGCTTTACTTTCCGTTTTGCTTGAAATATCTTCCGATTTACCCATCCATTTACTCTTGCCGAGGGTTTCGCTTAATAGGTCGGATGTAGCTTGCATCCTCCTCCCATTCAAATACTTAACTGTGGACTTTTAATTTGTCTAAGACGAGATTTACCTTTTTGTCTGCAACTTTTTTGGTCTTAGCAGCGGGCCACAGTTTCTTTTTGATGTCACGTACACGGGGATTGATATATTCTCCCAGCGCGATTTGTGATCCCTTCATTTGTGGCAATTCTTCAGTGTGGCAGTTTTTCCCTTAAAATCTGGTTGCTTTCGTACTATCGGCTGTGCATTATTGACAGGAGGTTTTTCTATAGTCTACATGTCCACTCCACACCACGGGTTCTGTTTGAAGTACCTTTTTAACACAGTTTCTATAACCACTTCGGCAAAGTCACTGTCACTTACTTTGCCGTTCTCTACAGTTTTATTTATTACTAAGTTTCAAGGTCGTCTAATGTGAATTGCGTATCTGAGACTGGCTGCCATAGTTTGATTCCCATGATTAGCCGTGTAGAAACCTTGTCATCAAGAGCTGCAACTTTTTGCAGATTAGATTCGATGACACTGAGCTAGTCATTCTTACTTTTCCTGATATCAACAGCATTTCGTTGAACCTGTTTAAAGAGAAGGATTTTGCCAGTTCCTAGGACTAGCATCTATTTCAATGTCCCCACAAAGTAAAGGTAATTTTTCTGCGTGAAATAGCACTTCAGGCAATAGTAAACAGAGCAGCCCTGGACATGGCAGCAAGACTGGAAAATGTTTATTTAAGCGAAAGCATTTCCGTATTGTTCGCTCACCTGTATGACGAAAATAAATCAATTACACGTCATGCCAGTAGTGCCGCCGTGTCCTATGGCATCGGGATGTTTGCGATTCCACTTTATACATACAGCGTGTTGCCTGCAGCACAGTCACTATAAGCATATAACTTTGCAGTAGATGGATGAATGGATGGATGGATGCTCATAGCATCCCCTTTATAATGGGGCAGTGACATGTGTGCCACCAGACTCGCAAAAAAAATTGCAAACCTCCTTTTATGTTGGCTGCATGCCTTATCTACTTCCATTAAATTGATTCTATTATAACAAAGCAAAATCTAAATTTATGTTTCATCTCTCAGCTTCTTCAGGCTGAGTGACCTCATTTTCCTACTTTTTCTCTCCCTTAACCTTTTTTTTTAGTTTTGTAGACACGCCGTGCCACTTCTCGGTGCAGTTTTGAGTAGTGCAAAGCCAGACTCACTTGCATAGTTTGCGGCGCAACCACGGGAAACTAGAGCGAGAGAAACAAGGATTGAGCTGAATATTAGGAAGCTTTTGCACATTGAACACTCGGAAAAAGAGTTACGCATTTCTACCCGCTAGTTTGATGCGTCCCCAAACCGCCATGACGTACTTGCTGGTTCACTCCCCAGAATGACGGTGAAAACAAGAGCAGACGCAACAGCTTCCGCGCTCTAGGAAGAAAGACGTCAGTGGTGCTACTGTTGCGTTGTGAGTTGCTACGGACTTAAAGGACTAGTTTTACTCATTTCCGCAGCCTTTGTGAAGCAGAATGTTGAGAGAACTGAATACAGGCCATTGCGAATGTGTCGGATAAACGAATTACTCGCGTTCTCCAAAGCCGGTCGCGTGAGAAAGTGTTATAATGTAGGTCTCCTGTTATTGTTCTGAGTACCCTTGATGAAGAACTCGAGTAACTTTGATTATGACGCTCAGCAAAGCCCCTGACCGCGGTTCGCGCCGTGCAACAGTAGACAGGTGACACGCGCGAAGAACGCCCCGCCGCGGTGGTCTAGTGGCTGAGGTACTCGTCTGCTGACCCGCAGGTCGCGGGATCGAATCCCGGCTGCGGCGGCTGCATTTCCGATGGAGGTGAAAATGTTGTAGGCCCGTGTGCTCAGATTTGGTGCACGTTAAAGAACCCCAGGTGGTCGAAATTTCCGGAGCCCTCCACTACGGCGTCTCTCATAATCATATGGCGATTTTGGGACGTTAAACACCACAAATCAATCAATCACGCTGCGAACAACGTCGCACATGCCACGACTAACGACAATCTGAAGGTGGGTGCTACTACACAGCATCACGCACGTATACTTTCAAGGTTCTAATTTCCGGCTTTAACAAGCAGATGCGGTAACGTACGTTATTCAAGTAAATCGCAAAACGTTGTTAATGGAAAATTTAGCAGACCCCACGTACCTCGGAATCGACGTAATGCGAGGCTTGCGGAGGGAAGCTTACCGAGTTGCAATTTTTTTTATTAGGCGACGTACAAATTTTACACGCATAGACACATGTTGAAGACTTTCAGATGTTTATATAACCAGTTGTTTGCACTTGCGCATCGATGCCAACTAGAACACGCATATTACGAACACGAGAAACTGATATGAAGTGCTGATGCTCGCGAGGATGCTGGCCCTGGACACTGCTACATAAATAAACTTCAGCGCATGGCAACTAACCACACTTGGCGTTAACCTGACGTGACGGCTGTATCAAAGGAGTACATATGTAATGTTTATAAAATTGGGAGGCAGCACTGCAACCACCATTGATGTTTCACAAAGATTAGCATCTATTTGAAAAGTAGTTCCGAGACCTGGTGTAGCTCTGTGGTAATATGCTTCAATGCCACGCAGGATGTTTGGGTTCGATTCCAGCTGGGACCCTGACATTTATTCTTTGCATTAATCAGGTAGACGGTACCACTGTCGGGTATTTCGTAACGCTCGCGCGTTAAAGTTGCCCATGTGTGTTCTCGTCGTTCCTGGGTAGATGCTAAGTGTCAATCTCCTGCGGCACATACTCGGACACCAGCGGCACATACCGGCCCGTGGGTATGTGCCGCTGTCTGACGGGAAGTGTTTGACGACGAACGCGACGCAATTGTGCCATTATCTATCTTTTAACCAGCGAATCATACTCGTCAAACCATCTTACCCTCCCATAATAATTTTGGTTCACGCCAAGTTAACGGGGTGACCACGAGAGTGCCCAAACGTAAGCGGCTAGATAGATAGATAGATAGATAGATAGATAGATAGATAGATAGATAGATAGATAGATAGATAGATAGATAGATAGATAGATAGATAGATAGATAGATAGATAGATAGATAGATAGATAGATCTGCGTCTGGTCGCTTGCGGATGGCTCTCTTTGCACTACCTATTTATGGCCTGCGCGGTGATGAGGGCACTGGTGGTAGCGCTTCTCGCAGCGCTGCCTGAGCAGAGTCTGACAAGACCACCTAAAGCACAAACCGTTGTTGATGAAGGGGCGTAGCCCAGAGATAGTTGAGTTGCGCAATGGGGTGCCGACGCGTCAACCGTCAGGAAAATCGGTGTACTTTGGGTTTCTAGCTAGTCTTGCAGGTACTTGCGCAGTACACAGTATGATGAAATGAACGAGAATGTCAATCAAAGAAGCAGACTCAAATTTTGAAGATGTTTCGGGAGCCTTGTTTGTTTAGAGAGTCGAAACGTATGTACAAATTGGCGTCTGTTTATTTTTTTTTTTTTTGATCGGCATTTTCTCGTATTTCACTATGTCCCCAATAAAAGCAGGCTCTATCAGAGGGGGCAATACCCTCTATGCTGCAGTTCGGGCCCTTTCTTGTTTTGTACAGCATTTACCGGGTTTTTTTTTTTTTTTCAAAAAACACTACAGCTCGTAATTCAGCATACCGTGCATGGTCTCTTTACTGCGCTTCCATCTGTCTTCTTGTTTTATGCGTGCTATTAGTAGTATACTTCTTCGAAACATGCACAGGAAGGGGCACAAGCATGTAGTCGAACATTCCAGCCAACATTGTGTCGCCCCATTCCAGCACAGCGGCTTGCCGAGGCTGGGAACAGATTTAAATACCCGCACGCCCGTTTCTCGCGGACGCAAAGACAGTTTTTCCTTGCTCGCTTTTTTTTTTTTTTTGCTTTTAGTGCTGCGCCAGCGATAATAACCCGCCGTAGGCAACATGCGTAAGGCAAAACCTTGTGAAGATAGCGACCCTGCGAAGACCGTGACCTGGGAAACAGTACAGAGCAGGCAATTTGCAGTGTAGTCCACGACATCGCCCCAGATTTTTTGCGCACATCCTCGTTTGCTGAACTGTTTTAGGTGCGTGTGATAAGAATGCCCGAACTCCTGACGCTCAACGCAAAGTGCACTTGTTTACCCCTTGTCAGACTACGCGCCAGGATTGCTCATCGCGCACTTGAATGTGCCCTCGCCTCCTCCCGAGAACGAGCGCTTGCGGTGCACGATTTTTGGCACGCTGCATAACGGTTGCGTCGCCACGCGAGAAACCGCCTCTTATCGGCATGCCCAAGGGTGGGCTGTTCGAAATAATGCGGTTACCTCGTTTCGGGGTCATTCCTTTGCCAAGCTAATTGCGTGGAGCATTTCACAAGCAGTCAACCGAGAGCATCGTTCGAATTGAGAGTAAATGCAGAATGTTGACTATTGGACCATGCATTGTCGACGGCAAATCAGAAAGCACTCTCAAATTCGAATCAGTCAGTTCTTGGAGCTCCCCAAATAGCTGGGGCTAGCCGTTGTGCGAAATACATTGCGCAATATTACAGAAGCGGAGCGTGTGATTGGGAGAGAGTGTAGCGGCGAATAACGACGCGTCTCTTCTTTCCTCCGATGACCGGCGCATGCAGTTGCGCTCTGACCGTAGCAGGTGCCGCGCCCGGCTGCTGCGATACTGGCCGCATTAGAGGGCCCGCGCGCGATCGGGCGACGCGCCGGGAGGGAACAGCCGTAAATGAGGATGCCCGCTGGTCACCCGTTCGTGCGGTCGTCGCTGTGTGTCCGATTCTGTCTGAATGCTCTCTTGTGGTGCTTGTGCTTCGGGTGTGCTTGGTGCATCTTCGAACCACGGCAACCGGACGCCTTTCGAACGCCGGTGAGTTCATGAATCGTTATGAATATTTTCTGTATTCGACATGGTTGTTTGTGTACGAGTGCTGTGGGTTCGAGAAAATATCCGATTAGGTGCCTTCATATAAGGCGATACCCAAGGTCTCTTATCACAATAGTTGCAGCAGGCTCAAAATTTAAGCTAACAAAGAAAACTAACGTATCACGCCGAGTAAACTCAACAAGTTGGTGAGCTAAAACGTTCAGTTCATACCGCACTCACAAGGTTGAGGCAAAAAAAATGCGCTGCCGAAGTTCAGTATTAGCGGGACCGCACAATCGTGTGGCATATACTCGTTCATTCGAATTTCACTAGTTTGGAAGCAAAATGTCCGAATCAACCAAATGTCATATTGTCGAAACTGTCGTGAATGCAGCGAACAAGAGGTAAATATACGTGAATCCATTTTGCTTTTTTCAGTGTATATCTAAATCCTCTATTCACTTCGCATAAAAACAGTGTAAATTATGAAATGTTTGTCATTCGTGACTTTCTTCACAATGTAGCTGCGCTGCTCAAGACTCCCGTGTGTTAAGCTGAAACGTGCCCTGAATATCAAGTTTAGTTGTGAAGCAGAGCATAAAGACATGGCACAAAAAAAAAGCGAGAGTACTTGTGTGTCTCGTCTTCGTGCGCTACATATCAAGTGAACATGAACTATCACCAACTCGCCCAACGGCCAATGTTACTGTGCTCTGAACCCATCCTCTATTGCGCATCGCGACCACAGACACGCACACGTGCCAGCTTTTTCGCCGGAAAAGTGGCTTGCAAAATATTATTCGTCCATCACCATGCAGCAAGACGTTTTAAATTAGCACTTGAGTCATGACTGAAGCTCTTCAACAGATTCGACTACATTTGAATTTAAGGACTTTGCCTGCACATCAGGTGAAGTCGAAAAGAAGTTACTGAGTGCCACATGTGTCATCCACGACACCGTGGTCGCTGACTTAGGACACAACAATAGCGTCCACAAAGTTGCGAATGCACGTGGCCTACACGTCCAGATGCGAAATAAAACTGCGCAGCACCACAACTGCTGATGGATTAACTTGGCTAGATAAATAACAATTGAAATATAATAAATTGAATTGAAGTTTATTCCGCAACAACATTTTAAAAGGAGGGCTGGTAAAAGCTGTTATAACAGCTTGAGTAGCCCCAATCCACTATTGTACACGGGTTAGCACAGGAGGCAGTGCGGCTAAGCACAACTAAAAAAAGTACAGTATGTTTCATAACGTGCTTGAAAACTACCTTAAAGAAACAGAAAAAGGTAGTCACCACATCGCATCATTACACAAAAAGAAATCGTGGTTGCTTTGGTGCTATACTAGAAGATAGCAATGATCATACATCGTGAACCTAAAACCTATTCAAATAGAATATTTGAGAAAGTTTCACTAATGGTACCGTGGTGATAATTTACGAACTATCAGCTTCAAGAAAGATACGCTTTGTACTAACTACGGCACACAAAAACTAACTTACCAAATTCTTCTCTATTTAATGACCACCCCACTGTGATGACATTATTAGAACAATGTTTCTCCGTTTATGTCTTTAAAATAAGATACACCCATTTCTCCTAAAAAGGTAAACAGACTTTTATACCTCTTTCGATTCCTCTTCTTATCTTGTGCAACATGCATATGCTGCTCATAGCTCTAATTTTTATTAATTTCTTTTTTATTTTGCCAGCCATTATTGCGCATAAATGCGTTTTAATATTATTTCTGCGCTAATCACAATTGTGTGCATATTTTTGTCAAATGGATTGATTTCACAATGAAATTGCTAATATTTTATGCTATTGTATACATTGAATCTTGTTTTGCCTAAATGAATGGAAACATTGGATTGATTACTTTTGATATGTGGGGTTTAACGTCCCCAAACCCTCATATGATTATGAGAGATGCCGTAGTGGAGGGCTCCGGAAATTTCGACCACCTGGGGTTCTTTAACGTGCACCCAAATCTGAGTACACGGGCCTACAACATTTCCGCCTCCATGGGAAATGCAGCCGCCGCAGCCGGGATATTAACCCGCGACCTGCGGGTCAGCAGCCGAGTACCTTAGCATCTAGACCACCGCGGCGGGGCATGGAAACACTGGAGACGGGCCAAAAATATTCATTTCGACTTGGGCAAAAGAGTAACAGGTACGTCAATAGGATAGAGGAGGCCTGCTGGTTTGACGAACGGACTTTTCTGCGCTGGCAATCAAGGCACGTCTGAACGTAGTGTTGAACGGCCACCATCAGTCCTGGCCGGTAGTATTTTGAATCACTCTGCACAGCGTACGCTTGTAACCCAAGGGGCCGGGGATTGGTTCATCGTGACATGCCTGTAACAATTCGCTTCTTATAAATGCTGGGGCGTCGAGTAAATAGTCATTTCCGCACGGCATGAAGTTCCTCTTATACAGGACGTCGTTGCGCAAGCAAAATGACGATAGCCCTTTCCGAACAGTCTAAGTAGTACAGCTAAAGTGCCACCCTCCAAAAAACAAATTATGGGTTCTAGTTCCGGGTCGTCTCGTTGCAGCTGTGCGACAGTAGCCGTGTTGACAACTCTTACAAAGGCTGTATGACCATCTTCTGCCAATGCAGGTTCGTATGGCGCACAAAAAAGGCAATCGGCGTCTGAATGTCGCTTCCCCGATCTGTAGACCACAGGCATGTCAAATTCTTGAAGCTCATTTAAGGTCATTTAAGTTCGTGAGCCAGCAGAGGGGGTAATGATCACTGACAACAATCAAGGACACCCATACAGATGTGGCCGGAATTTTATAACCGCTCAAACCACCGGAAGGAACTCTTTTTTCGTGGTGAAAGAACTGTCTTCCGCGCGTCAAAGAGTCCTGCTCGCGTAATCGGTTACTCGTCCTGCGCCATCCCGCCACTGCACGAGTACAGCTACTAAACCGACATAGATGGCGCTGGTGGGCACTGTTCTTGGGCCATCATCATCAATGCGTCCGAGGACTGGTGGATTTTGGAGACACTGCCGCAGCTAGTTCAAGGCTTTTTGCTGTTCACCATTCCACAGGAATGCGACATCTATTCTGGTGAGGCGTGTTAACGGCGATGCAATGCGTGAGAAGTTCCCAATGAAGGGTCGATAGTAAGCGCAGAGCCCTAAAATCGTCGGGCCACCTTTTTGTCAGATGGCACTGAAAAGTGTGCAATGGCAGATATTAAACACGATAGTCTTTCTTGGGGGCATTCGACGCAAAAGTTTTGGTCTGTCTGTCTCTCTGTACATTTGTCTGTTTGTCCGCCCTTAACGGTACCCTAAATTGCACCAAAGTGGCCAAAGAATACTCCAAACGGCCGACCCATTCACAGTGCCCACCAATATTGCTCAAGATTCAGTGTTGATACTGGTGCGATTGCCAATTAAAACCAATTATTGCGCATATCTGAGGCACCATAACAACACGTCGATATTCTGTATGTGTGTCTCTTACTAGAAAAGGCCGTAATTCTAAGAACCGCAGCGTCTGTGACGTTGCGCTGACCATGCAACGCTTGCATGAAATGGCAAGTGTTTCCAACGCTTTGCTAAGATGGCGTGGTGGTGGCACCTACCTATCGCATCGCGTTCTACACTTTAGCACTTCCGAGACGGGCACACAGGCGCGCGTGCTTCGTTTTCCAAGATAACTGCCGGATAGCGCTCATGTCTCACGTGTGACGTGACTTAATGTGCTCGTTCGCCTCCGCTGCATGCTCGAGGCACTATAACGCAGCACCTGCACAATATCATTCACCGATGTTCTTGCACAGAACATCAAATAAACGTTTTGTTCACTCTCTCCCGACGCAAGACTATCGTTTTGCTACGACATTTGCACTGTAACATGCCGATATATATCTATGGGGCCAATTTTTTTTTTTGGCGGGGGGGGAGATCAGGCCACACTTCTTCATTGATGACAACATTCACAAAAAACAAAAGCTCTTCAAAGCCAAAGTGGCCTTTTTTCCAGCTTGAGTGTTAGTCCAGCGAAACGGATAGCTTAAAATACTGAGGGCAGTCGCTTGACGTGTTCGTCTAATGTGGCCGAGGATACGACGACGTCTTCTAAACGCACCAAGCAGGTCTGCTAGTAGGACGTCCATTAGCTGCTGAGACGTTGCCGGTGCTGAGCACAAGCCAAATGGAAGTACCTTGAAATTAGAAAATCAATCAGGTGTCACGGAAGCTGTTTTTTCCCGGTCTCATTCATCGCCTTCAATCTGCCATTACCCACTCCTTAAGTTCATCGACGAGAAATAGCGTGCTCGGAGTAGTAGATCGAGTGAATTCTTTATACGTGGAAGGGGGTAAGCATCTTTTTTGCGACCTGATTCATCTTGCGGTAATTCACGCAGAAACGTGAGGTGCCGTCTTTTTTTCTTCACTAACACAACCGGCGAAGCCCAAGGGCTTTTCGACGGCTGAATAACGTCATCTTCAAGCGTCTTTCATACCTGGTTTTCGATGGCTCCTTGTTTCCTCGTAGCTACCCGGTACGGGTTTTGCCTGAGGGTTATGCCATCAGTCATGTCATCGGTTTTAATTCGATGGTTCGTCAGTGGCGTTTCACGAACTCTGGACGTCGAAGAGAAAATTTGTTCAAACTGGTTTATAGGCTGCAAGATACTTTGCTTCTGCGCCGGCAGCAAACTTGAGCCATTATCAACGGATAGAGGTACGAGTGGCAGGTCAGTTGAATTATCTTGCTCAAGAGTTGGGCAGTGTGTCATCTTGGCGAGCTTATCCATGTACGCGGCTGCCATGTCCCTCATTAAGCCCCGCCGCGGTGGTCTAGTGGCTAAGGTACTCGGCTGCTGACCCGCAGGGCGCGGGTTCAAATCCCGGCTGCGGCGGCTGCATTTCCGAGGGAGGCGGAAATGTTGTAGGCCCGTGTGCTCAGATTCGGGTGCACGTTAAAGAACCCCAGGTAGTCTAAATTTCCGGAGCCCTCCACTA